TTAAATCACTTCTTGGTCTGCTGCCTTCATACATCTCCTCCTACATGTCTCTGCGTGAGTGCAGCTACGGAGTGCGCTCTCAGGACATTATTACCTGCAGTATTCCCTCAGTGAGGACTAAACTAGGCAAAAGGGCCTTCTCGTACTCTGCTCCTGTTTCCTGGAATATCTTACAAAAAGATTTGAAGCTCTCGACCTTGACCTCTCTAAGTGGCTTTAAGAATCTGTTGGACTCCTGGCAGGGACCAATGCAGACATGTTCCTGTTTTTAGTTTTCTACATTCGCCTTAGAATCTAGTTGTTTATTTATTATTATTTTTTTGTTGTTGTTACCTTTTCCTTTTAGCCATCCTATTTGTAAAAAAAACCACAAAAAAAAAACCATGCAGTATGACTTTTTATAATTGTTTATTGTTGTTGCTGTTGTCCATTGTTGTCATCTTTCTTTGTTGAAACCAGGTTTCTCTTGTAAATGAGTCCTCGAGGCTCAATGGGATTTACCTGTCTAAATAAAGGTTGAATGAAAAAAAATCTGTTGCCGCTGTTACACTTGAATTTCCCATCCGTGGGACAATAAAGACTGTTTCTATTCTATTTCTGTTTCTAATGTAAAATCAGGAATGTAATTCAACTGCACACTGAAAATGTAGATCCGCAGTAATTTTCTTGCATCTAAAGTAAACATCTAAAGTAAATAACACCATCTTGGCAAATACATTAATAATGATGTTATTGTTTCCAGATCAGCTAACAGTATGTAACTTGTAATTGTATGTACGGACAAACAAATTGTAAAGCAGGTGTAACTAATGTTAGCTGTGTAGCAGGCAAACCCTTCAAACTTCCATTCTTAAACACGGGCATGTGTCTGCTATGGTAATATTTCTGCTAAGCTAATATTGGGCCAGAACATTAAAAACTTTAACAGCAACTTGAAGGTTTTTTTTTTTTTTTTTTTCAAATTTACTTCTAGTGTTTGTTGCTTTTGCAGTTTTGCTTTTTGTGTTTGTAAGTTTTGCTTTGCAACACAAAAAATGCAGTGAGTGTAGACTGTGTCAGAGATTAGGAAGGCAGCTGTTGCCTCACAGTGAGAAGGCTGCAAGTTCAAATCCCAGCTGGAGGCCTAGGCCTGTAACGATAACAAATTTTGCTGGGCTATTAATTGTCTCAGAAATTATTGTGATAAATGATAATACTGTTTGAAATTTGACAATAATTATTTATTATTGTCAAATTGTCAAAAATAAATGTTAATTTGTTTTGAGTGTAGTACCTTTTTTTGACCACCGGATGGCAGTATAAGACTGTTTTGAACAAAAGGATGTAAAGTGAGAGAGCAAGCAGCATGTCTCTTTAAGAAAAATGGGAGGGAGGCCCCTTGACGTGACATGGGCTGTCTCTCTTTCCTTTTTTCGGTTCGCAAAATGGCGGATGCTCTGTGTGGTTTGAGCTCTTTAGCATAGCATTTTTCACACAAAGCTTTTAATAAAAAAATTTAAAAATCAGTAAACGAGTTCTCAGCTTCTTTTTGCAGAGAAAAACAACTTTTTACACGAAGGCATGGGTTTCAACTGTGAATTTTGGAACTTCGACAAGACGGAGGTTTTTTTCCCCGAGGTCGGCCTCTTAGCTTAGCTTGTAGCTTAGCTTCTCATCTTAGCTGCTTTTAACGATCCAAAAACGCAATCTTGGACGGTTAAAACAGATTTTAAAGAGAAAGGGAGGGGTCAGCGAAGAGCACCGGAGTTGAGCCTTTTGTCATCCAGTGTCCAGTAGAGAGAGACATGAAGAAATGATAAAGTCGATAAATGAAAATTAGGTAGATAATTTTAATTTTTTCATGCAATTAATTGATTTATTGTTTATCGCGACAAGCCGATTACGGAGGCCTTTCTGGGTGGAGTTTGCATGTTCTCTCCGTGCTGCGTAAGTTTTCTCCAGATATTCTTGTTTCCTCCCACAGACCAAAAACATGCATGTTAGGCTGATTGGTAACTCTAAATTGTCCCTAGGTGTGAGTAATTTCAGCCCTTTTAACTATTTTCCTAATTTTTGTGCTTATTTTTGCTAATTTAAACCTAATTCAGCAAAAGCGTGTTCTGTCTACTGTCTTCTGGTAACTTAAGCTGGTGCTTCCATTTCAGCTACATTTCAGTATATTTTAGCTAATTTTAGTTGTTTTTCAGCAAGTTCTTCAGCAATAAGCTTTCACGCTGCATTTTTGCAGAAAATGAAATTTCTCTAGTTTGTCTTTGATTGGGTCTTTCCAGATGTGAAAGTTCATGCAGTAATGCACCCCTATACAATCTGAGAGCAGCTTTCCACTTTGCCTATTTCAATTGAGCTTTGGTCTAGAGAAGACTGTTGCATTTCTCAATGACATTTCCATGTCTTCTTCTGTGCATGATAAACCTTAACCTGCATCTGTGCATGGCACGTGGACCTGTGTTTACAGAAAACAATTTGTGCAAGTGTTCCTAAGTCCATGCAGCAATGTCCATAACAGAATCAGGCATGAAGATTATGGAAATTCAATATCAACTCAGCCTTGTCCTTTAAGCTCAGAGGATTCTACAGATAATTTATTGAATAATTTCTACTGTAAATGACGGGATATTCAAAGTTGTCAAATTTTTCTGTTGAGCACTTTATTCTAAAAAAAACTTCCACTGCTTTCAGAAACATTTTTTGCAGACTGGTGATTTTTTTTAATTTTATTTTTTTACCTTTATTTATACAGGTAGTGTCATTGAGTCACGAGGACTCGTTTTCAAGAGAGAGACTTGTTTGGTAGCAGATGGTGGGGTTTAAGAGCCTTGCTCAAGGGCCCAGAGTGAGGCAAATGAGGGAGGAGGCAGGTGTGGGTGCTTCACCTTTCCCACCCATATTTTGAAATTGACGGTCAGGAGAGTTGAACCTGCAACCTTCTGATCACAGGCCCACCTTTTCTAACCTCTGCACCACCACTCCCCATGTGTGTTCTAATCCAAGGCGCTTTATCCACGGCTTTAGTTCTTTTACGCACTAATTTGAGTACTTCGTACTAATTATTTATTTATTCTTGGGTCATAGATTGGACTCTGAACTCGCGGCTCACGGGTGGTAATCAGACGCGCTTCCCCTGATCCTTGGCCCATCTTTACTTCTGAGGGATTCAGCTTTTTTTAAATGTTTTTTTATTTTTTTTATTTACCCAGTCCTCTTACTGATGTGCAGCAAATGAACCTAAATCCTCTTCCAACCAAAATGCTCTTCCAGCTGTTTCTCATGTGTGCATCTTAATTAGATTTACAGCCTTTTGTTGCATTAGTTCTATTGTTTTTGTTTTTCAGTGGGGGAGAATATAGGCCGAGCTGGTTGTACGTATGTAAAGGTGCACAGTGTCACATGGGTCAGTTGTAAAAACATTCAAAGTACTGCCCAATGATTGGGAGATTAAATGATGAAGAATAATCTGTAGAACCTGAGATGACAGGGTCCAGGTTTGGAGTTGCTGCTTTGTGAAATTGTTGACAACTTCACATTGAACATGCAAACATTTTTGTCTAGAATGACTTAAAATCCTTTACACCCATGTTTCTCAGTGTTACATATACCTCAGTACCTTGGTTACAGTTATCTAAAAGTTTGAGTTTTTAAACAAAATGTGTACACCCTCATTGTTTCAGTCGGTGCAAATCATGTATTGTTTGTGAAAATGTCGTATTGAAATGGAGAAAACTGACCATGTGTAGATTAGGCATGTCTAATCTCTTTAATACAATCAGTGTTTTTGCTGAGATTTGTTCTAATCAAAGTGGCTGAGATAGCTGGGATTTTGTTGACCTTAGTGACACACTTGGCGAGGCTTTCACAAGATTTGCTTCCTGCAGCGGAAAATGGCAAACGTAAACTTTTTCTTAACTTGGGTGCAAGGCAGTCAAAAACTAAAAAGTCACAGTCTGATCTTTCCTTTCTGTAATACGACTGTCAACCCCTTTGCCCTCTTTGTTGAATTGTTTTTATTTTTTTAATGCCTTGAGTTTGTGTTTTAGCCGACAGTTCTACAGTCTGAAATTCTGTGTGGTTGTCAGTCGGCCTGCAGTAATCCTTGACCCCAATGAAACTGCAGTGAACCCTCAGGGCTTTGTTGTTCACATAAACTCTGGACAAGAATGTGCCGGTTTGTTTGTGAGTGTAGGGCTAAAAATAGCCCGCAAGCCTTCTGTTTGTGTACATGCACACCATTCAAGATGTCGCCGCTGCGCTCTGTTGTGCCCACATGTTACTCAACCAATTTCTTTTGTCAGGCAACGATTCTAAGAAAAATAAGCTTAATCCTTTGACTCGTTTTATTCTGGCATACAGGGAAATCTGGGGAATGGACTTTAAGTATTGGAAAAAATAGTCCTTTTTTAGCACTTACAGGCATAGTGGTGAGTAAAGTAAAAACATAAAATGATAAAGGAACTGTATAATTTTGTATTTTTATAGCCTTATTGGCCACTCTACGCACTTTTACTTTACATAGTGTTTCCCTTACCATTATACAAGCTGGCGGCTCCACCCTGTCAACAGAACCGAGCGCCCTGCCTACCAAGCCCCCCCCCCCCCCACCCCCAGTTGACAACTGCCGGCACTGACGTAGCGCTAAACTAGCGGCGTGCAATACAGATGCTCTACTTAAAAAGCTACAGAAAAAATCTCTGTTTCCCTCATGCTGAGCCGTCTACAGTGTCCCCCCCCCCCAAAAAAAACTGTCTGTACAAACAGTGTTCAAGTCCGACATGTCTCCGTCTCCATCCCCCCCACCCTGTCGTCAAAAATCACTGAAGATATGAGCGCCGTTCTAAGCTAAATACACTAGGGGAAACATTGTTTACAAGTCACCGTCACACACACTGTCGCACACCATATGGAGGTTAGGAGCAACTTGGGGTTCAGTGATTCGCCCATGGGCTCACAGACATTAGGCTAAATCCATTGGATTCTACTATAAAAGTAATTGAGCCTTTTTTTCTGTCATACAAAATGTTTTTTTTTAGAAAACATCCTTAATTTTCTTTTCTAATTTATTGTTTAATTTAGCTTGGGTGCACATAAATTAAATAATATACATGTGTCAGACAGGAATATCAGAAAGTTTCTAAGATTTCAGAACATGTGGAATGAGCTACGAATGCATGTCGAGCAGGCTCCCTCACTTACTGTTTTTAAGTCTTGTTTAAAAACTCACTTTTATTCCTGGCTTTTGACATTGTGTGAGTTGATTTTAACTTCTCTGTATTCTATAATGTTAGTCACTTAGTTCTTATATTTATATTTACCTCTATGGATCTATGTGTATATA